GACGTGAAAGGAGAGTTTCTCGAAGAGTCGTATTGAGGCTGCATTGGTCTCTCCAATACGGACTATGAGTCTTTCCGGCGGAATGTGAAGAGGGCCTGAGGAGGACGTGGCATAGTGAAATAAGAGGTGTAGTGCGCTCTGGGCGACACCTTTACGACGATAGGCGGTATCTGTTCAGATTATTTGAGTTCTATCTCAATACTAGTTGTTTTGAAAATACATCAAACCTGCAATCATTACTTCCGCTTCTACTTCTTCGTCACCGTCTTGGTGAGTTTCTTTAAGGAAAAGGTTGACATCACCGATCATAGGGAATGTTAATATTTCTTCTCGCGTGGGTATGGTATTTGGATCGACATTCATGGAAGTTCCAGATACAATGAGATGAGATCTTGCAAGAATGATAAAGGTTAGCTCTGCATGGTAGACGGTAGTCAACGCTTGATGAACAAAACTTGTGTGAGGCCTTACTCACTATCGGCGTCTGTCTGCCAGTTTCCTAAGGACTACACTACATATTAGATATCAAAGCGCGTAGGGACTCGGATTGCGCACGTTGCATTTGATGTTCTTCCTCGAGCGTGAGTGGTTCAGACGCAGTTAATTCGCGCAACTCGGGAGATAGCATCCACATGTGATAGGTCTTTGATAATTTTATCGATTACAATAAATCAGTCGACAGCTATGATATACGTCAAATGGAGACATACTTCAACGTGTTCAGGCCTGTACTCGTATTGCAGTTGAAGCAGATGCAGCGGTTGATGGAGATCTCTCACCTATAAGGTACTAGAACGACGTCTTTTCCAACTATCGCAGTTTTCTGGTTCACAAGCATGATTTCTCAGGGTCTTCAAGCGGTTGGGGACCTGTAACGCTTTCTGAACAATGCTCAGGTGTCTAGAAACTTTTCAGCTCATTCAATGACCTGATTCTGAATATTATGAAATTCACGGTCCAATTGAACTCACGGCTCTGATGTGTCTAAGTAATTGCTAAGTAACAAGGTGATGTGGCGGTCACGGTCACACTGTGACATACGTTTGCCCCCACCACCACACTGACACAACATTTTGACCACAGTTGGCAGGAAATTTAACATAGCAGCCCCATATTCAGGTACCGGTGCGGCGGTTATGAGCGCGTTGGTACAGCGGAATCGACGTCTGATGCTGACTGCGTGGAGGTCTATGGAGCCCGTGGATCGCGAAATACGTGTCTATGATGGGGTGCTATCCTTAACATCAAACGTCGTAAATGGTTAAAGCTCGAATCCGTCTTTGTTCTCTATGCTCTAGATGTTGACACCTGATCGACCAACTCGGCGGGGAAGAACGACTCGGAGGACGCGTGTTAGACTTGTAAACAGAGGCATCTTCTCGTTCAAAGATGGCTTTGTTTTATAAAAAAGAACTTGGGGATCCCCAGAGATGAAGAACTGGCCTCTTCTGACCTCCAGCGACATGGCGCCGGTGCTCCAAAATCGGAACATGGATTACCCAAGGAAGAAACAATAAATCCTATATAAGACCCTTTGTTGTCAACGGAGACATCCAGCTCCTCTTCCTCTCTTCCACTCGATCCACTTCATGGCGTGACAAGTGACTTCTCACGATTTTTTTTGGATACATAGGGCATTATCCCACGTCCTTGCTACGGCTGAGGCATACGATCTTCACCCACCTCTACCATATCCAGCCCCACTATATTCAAAAAGTAGACCTTGGTGTTCTGATTTGGTCAGCCCCAAGTTCAGAGCTTTTGCAATTTTTTTGAGTTTTCTGGACTGGGCGCTGCGTTCTGTTATTTTTTATCTCCGTCTTTATATACCCTGGAGTTGTTTCAGTCTCGGTTGCCTGTTGCCCACACGGATTTTTGAACATGGTCTGGGGCATAAACTACCTCACGGAATCACATTGGATGGATTGATTTTTATTACGGGCTCCTTCCATCCTTATCGTGAGGAACGATAATGTCTCCCGCGGCTGCACTGGTACCCACGTTGTCTAGTATATTCGTCCATGGTCCCTCTTGCTACAGACTTCCACACAAGTTGTGTTCAGTCTGTACAGTGACCAGGAACCGGATTTCTAGACATAAGCGAAAAAGGCATCTATGCTCTGCGGGAATCATTTATCTTGGTTCAGGTTCAGTTTCGTATACTCTGTTATTCTGTCATTCATCATGACATCTCCATCTCGTCTGCTGCTCGCCTTTGGAAAGTTTTGAAGAGGACTACGGCACGTGGGCGCGTAGTAAGGCTTAATTGAAGGTCTTAAGGCTCCAGAAAGGATGGAGGGGCAGGTGAGTCTTTTATTGAAGCTCTACTCATAGATGTCGCAAGGACTTGCGGCTTTCAAACTTGGGACTTTCGCTGCAGGTCGGGTTGCAATACCATTTGATTATGAAGCCACTACCAGTACAAATATGAATGGGTACTGGAGCCGGTACGCTGGAGGTTTGATAAAGGTTCTTGAACCTGTATTTTCATAAAAGCCTTTGTCTTGTAAAGCTGAGCTGTTTCGCACTGTAATGTTACGACCTCTCATTTTTAAGCATATAGAATGCACATTTACGCGAAGTATAGGGAACTTTATGACCAATTGAGGACGATCGAATTTGACCGCTGACGTCAACGGTCCCGGGGATCGAATTTATTTGACTTACCTCAACTCCCCCTCTGTGTTTTCGACGTGTAGAGACGGTTCAAATCTCTCGTGGCCTTGCTCTATCATGAATTCAAAGGAAAAATTACATAGTTGAGTCTGCGTTGTGCTAGACGAACGAGACCGCGATCCAGCTCGCTGGCATCTTTGACAACGGGTAAGGAAATATTCATGTCCGATTCGACCCAGTCGGAATAATGTTGTGCATGTGGCAGGGGTCTGCGCAGTTAGGACAGGTCTAGAAATCTATAAATGCTCATTTCACTTTCCCCAACTTCCGCCTTCCCTCCCCCCAACTTCTTTCTTGTTTCCCACCAGTAGACGATACAAACCACGATGTTTCACCCTATCGTACTCGCTCTTCTTGCGGCCTCACCAGCTTTTGCTCAGAACTCGTCGTCATACCTTACGGGCTTGGTAAATGCTCTTAACGGGGCGGGCCTGAACACGCTTGCGGGTGTTGCACAGAACGTCTCCACTACTACTACAGGCCAACAATTGTTCGGGCAGTTGCCCAATGGTAACAACACGGTTTTCGCACCGAACAACGATGCATGTATGTGCCACTCTGTTTGACCCTCAAGACCTTCGTTCTAACGCGCATATAGTCAATCAGACTCCTCCAAAAAATATTACCGATCCGAACGAGCTGGCTGCGATACTTTCATATCATGTTGTCTCCGGATCTTTCTCTACGAGCAACTTCTCGAACGCGCCTACCCACACCATCCTGCGCACACATCTCAACAACTCACAGTATGTCGCTCTGGAAGGTAATAAAAGCCAGGCCCTGGTTCTAAGCAACGACAACGGCAACATCAGTGTTCTTAACCAAAAGTAAGCCTTCGTCCTCGTTTCCCTCTCATGAATGCTGACTACGCAACAGCACCCCTATACACGTCTTGTCTTCCACCACATACCAGAACCTGATGATATACGTCGTGAGTGGGGTCATCAACCCCCCACCGTCGCTCGCCGATGTAATTGATTCATCCAACCTGTCCATGCTCTCAACGGCTGCCAACCAAGCCGGTGTGCTCAACTCTCTCGAGTCCATGCACGGCATCACTATCTTCGCACCAACCAATGACGCCATCAACGCTGCCATCGCGTCTCTCGGTGGCATGGATAAGGTGAACGCGAGCACTCTCCAGACTGTACTCGGCAACCACATCATCAATGGCACCTCTGTATACTCTACGCAACTCGCAGAGGGAAACTACATTTCTGCCGCCGGCGAGCCGCTTAAATACTCAACAAACAGCAGTGGCACATACATCTCCTCCGGCTCAAGCAGCGCGAAGATTATCACTGCCGACGTACTCACGTCGAACGGCGTTATCCATATCATCGATAGCGTACTGCTCAATACGCAAAACGACACCGCGGCCGCCAGCTCGGCGTGAGTATCTTTTCTACCCGTATGTCCAATAGCTGATTTCCAGACTCTAGCTATGCGTCTGCCACCTCAGTTGCTGCACAGTCTACGAGCGAGACAATCGCCATCGGCGCAACCGCGAGCACCACATCGGGACCTACAACTTCAGCTGGTGTTAGGAAGAACACGGCCACAACTATTGACCTACCCCTCTGCCCGCTCCTCGCCCTTGCGGCGCTTTTCGTAGTCAGCAGCGCTGTCTTGGTCTTATAGGAAAGGAATATCTTCTGAGCTGATAGAAGTCGTTTCTAAGACTATCACCAATGTTCTATTCATGAACTCTCATTTTCGTCATTCTCTTTTCATACGGTTCGCACTTCATATCTTGCTACCGTGCATGGACTTCCTTGAAATTTGTCCTCACTATGCATAAGTATACTACGACTTTTATGGCATGTAATAGATTTAGACTGTAAGCACGATTCAGAACGGCGGCTCACATGTTTCACGTTTCTCCGCCATACCAAGTCAACTTTGAGTTGACCCGCGGTGCGCAGCTCGAACAAGTCTCGGCTTATTTTCTTCACGAGGGCGAAGGGATCAGTCAATGGATCAAGCTTAATATTAGACGACCAAATTCAGCCCATATTACTTTACTGGTCGATTCAAGTTCGTTTCTACCTACGAATCCGACGATGAACACTCGCGGCACGTTTCGCTCGAGCAGTAGTACCTTTCACGTCCAGATATCAAAGGCAGTACGTGAAGTGCTAGAATATTGGCACTGGGAAAGGCCAGGTCACGGATAGTATAGCTAGCTGATTGAAACATGTCATCAGACAAATTGACAGACTTGGAAATAACGTAGGTACAGTAAATTTACTGCTCTTGCTATAGATAACCATCGGCGAAAACGTCTTGGTCGTTCGCAAATAAAAAACGAGACAAAACATGATTGCCCCCTGCAAGGCTCGAACTTGCGACTTTTGGATGACCCATTTAATAATAATGGTCATAGATTATTGACTATGAGACCAACGCACTACCAACTGTGCCAAGGAGGCTCCAAGTGCAACTTCGAGCTGTGCATATACCAATATTCGAGAACCTGAACCAAGAAACTAATCATGTGATCGATTGCGTGCTCGACGAAGGAAATGGCGACGAGCAGGTCCCGAATGCATCGTCCGCGAAGGTTTTGCCATCACAGCTCCTCGACACCTGCAATGAAACTCCGCCTATGTTTTCACCTTGCTTATACTACCACATTTCGCCCTCGAATATCTTTGCTTTTATCGATCATAGTTCACGCATAGGTATTATCTTTTTTTTTTTACATACGCTCACCAAGGACGTAACACGCAGCATTATTTCTCTAGGGTAAAAGCTTATGGTAGATATGACACCGTCAGAAGAATTGCGGGTCAGGATTATGCTCGATTCCCCCTAACATTTCACCCTCTGGGTCGGCTTCAACAATATTCTCATTTCAGCTTCAATTAAAATTATGATCGACGCCAACTACCCCTCATGACACCTATGCGATCCTACGGACCCCCCTAAAATGTAAACTATTATACGATTTCAAGGCTAGATCATGACGTGGGGAAAACTCTCCTACCTTTAATTTTCTCCTGAATAACTACAGTCGACCAAATGAGTTCTTTGCTGTTTTTCCATCGGTTATGCACCCTTGTTAGCTGCAACCTATAACATCCCCATCCACGTATTGACTTGGCTCTTGCGATTGGCACGGTGCTTTTGGCCATAGACCCGAGTTACCGGAACCCTTAGTTCCGCTGCGACCCATGACCGATGGCGGAAGAATCTTGAGCGCAACACCCCCTCGCCTTCTATAAAAGTGGGGTGAAAAACCTTTCTCCCCCAGCAGTCTTCTCAGTCACATTATCGCTCCACTATGTCTTGCGATACTCACTCCAACCAAACCAAAGGCCTTACTGCAGACCACCTAAGCCTCAGACCACTCAAGGGTATTCACCAGCAGCTCTGTGCCTTCCACGTATATGCGTAATTTTTCCTTTCGTTTTCTCATCAGGTCCAGCTCACTTATTCTCATGATTTCTCGCAGTCAGGACCATACTCGTCAAATTGGTAATTCGTATGATTTTACTTGACTGCACGTGATATTGATCGTTGGCTGATAGAAAGTCACCATTATTGCACTTGTATCAAGTACGTTTCTCTATTCCCTTTTTACTGACATCGCTGACTATTCATTATTCGCAGGCCCTCTACGCTTTTCCATCAATGCATCATATATGATTCTGACGAATCAAATGCGCGGCTCATTGGGATAGAATACATTGTTTCTGAAGAGGTAAGTATCCGTTGTATTTATGAGAGACCAGATTGTATAATGGTCATCGTCTTAGACCTTCAAGACGTTGCCTGCAGAGGAGAAGAAATATTGGCACTCCCATAAATTCGAGGTGCAATCAAGAATGTGCTTTCATCCGTTTTGAGATGCTAATTGGTTGGTAGGTCGAGAGTGGAGTCCTTCAGTTAAAAGTATATTTTTTCCGCTCATATCACCCTACTACTTTATGATGTATATTGACCTTATCCCAGTTCAAGGAAGGTATCCCAGAGACCATCCAACGTGAAGTGGGCGACCCAGTGATGAACGTTTTACACAAGACATATGGGAAGACAATCCACACCTGGGCCGTTGACTTACACCCCGACTTTCCAATAGGTCCCCCTAACCTCATGATGTCCTGGACGGGTGAGGGGCAAGGCGATCCCTCTCTCATCAAGGATCGCGATGCGAGGTGCGGAATGGACACGGAAAGTAGGAAGGAGCACAGGAAAAAATATTTGGACCTGGGTTATCAAAAGGACTCGGATGTAGATGAGTGGGAGAGAACCGGCAAAGGCATTGTGTTTGAGGCGAGGGAGGTGGATGTCAAGTATTGATCGCATTTCGGGAACCTGTATTGCGGCGTCTGCCTTACGATTGTTCATTTTGTTTTTGAAACCAGCACCATCATTCTTGAGGTTGTATAACTCTCTTCAAAATATTGTTTATGACTCACTTAAAATCACTCGGAGCTGCTCCCCCCCTTTCGAGTGCGATTTGAAAATGCTGATAGGAGTTGATCGCCTTAGTAACTGAGGCGCTGTGTCGCCAACACCGTCAATGGCACTGAGATGGGTAGAACTACATCTGCAAAAGTCAAGCTAAAATAACACATATATGAACATAACTGGTGTCACGACTAAAGGCCTCGTCCGACCTCTGGAACATACAAGGGTCTCTCCCATCGACCCACTAGACACGTCTCTCTGCATTCCGGGATTGATGGCCAAGGTCCAAAACCACGTTTGTCATGTCGGGCCTTTCTTCTGGATTGATGGCGGTGCACTTGCGAGTAAACTCCCATGTTTCGTCGTCTATCCACCTGTCTGCTAGGGTTCCATGCGGCCTAGGCGAGCGCTCCCCGCGTATAAGGGCGAACAACACTTGTATGTCCTCTCTCACATCGAAAAAGGGCAACTGATTACTATATATCTAGAAATTACATCAGTCGATATATCACACAATGCATGTATAGAATCAGAGACCTCAAGCATTACATGACCAAATGCGTAGACATCGCTCATTGTTGTTCTTGAAGGCCCATCGCCGGGTGCAAAAAGTTCCGGTGCCATCCATCTGGGAGAACCGGCACCTTTTAACATAGTTGTTGTGGCCTCGTGATTTATTTTGGAGAGCCCAAAGTCGGCTACAACAGCAGCGCCGTAGTCAGTGATCAATATATTAGCCCTGTGTATACTGAGCTATAAATTTGCAGAATAGAAGACGCAAGGCTTACCCTTTCATATCGCCATGTACTACAGAGGGATTGCGACTATGAAGATAGAGTAGGCCCTCTGCGGCTTCGAGCAACTGCACGGTTGGATCATCAGGAGAAAAATATTTTCCCGTTATTAGAACTCACTAGCTGACGCCTGTTGGCGTCCGGGTTTACATTTGTCAAGTAATCGACGGCATTACCGTTTTGGAGAAATGGGGAGACCTAAGAGATTTGTAGCTCACAATGAACATTAAAAGCTAATATGAGTAAGGCAGACCATGAAAAAAGCTCGGTCTCCATGTTGACAGACACCATAAAACTGCAAAATTCGCGGGTGCTGAAAGTCTGCCCATAAGCCTGCCTCGCTGAGGAAACGCTTTATGGTCATGCCAATATTCACATCATATAAACTAATGATGAGGCTGATGACTCACCCGTTGCGCTCCTTGTTGTTCCTGCTCAGTTCTACCATAGAATCGCACCAGCTTTAAGGCAACCCTTTCACCCGAATCTCGTTTTTCACCCAGGAAGAGATCACAAAAACCTCCACCAGCGATGGGGTGCTCGCTTACCCTGCGAATTTCTGCACTGACATTTCTCAGCGTGTGAGGTGAATCTTCACGCTGGTCAGCTACAAAGTGACCAGACGGTACTACGTGAGACGCATTAGGACCCTGGAGACTCTGGAATGCTGGAGGAGGAGTTCGTGTTTCCTGATGCGTGGGTGTATACGCCGCTTTGTAAGGACTGAGTTGGCTCATTCTTTGCGCCACTGCAGCCATTGTGGGTCTTTCTCTGGGATCCGGGTGTTGACAACTACGAACGACATTCCAAATAGGATGAGTGGGGCCTTTTAGGGGTCGCGGCCATTCTGGATCATCCTCTAGGCCTCTCTTGATAATATAAGAGTTGCGGAGAGCATAAACATCGTCAGAAAAATTGCATCGAGAGAGAACCTGCAAAGTGCTACTAGTGAGTACATACAGAAAGCGACTGTGGGTTATGAGTCCAACCTCCATGATTGTCGTGCCAAATTCGAACACATCGCTTTCAAAGGTAGTGATTATTCCTCCAGAGTCATCTGTCGCTAAATCCTCAGGATGGTCTGCTAGAGAATAGGCACGCAAATTTAAAGCCTTTGTGGGGCCGTAATCGGCTCCGTCATCTGTGTGCGCTATGAGGAAACTTGAGAGATGGGCGCGCCCCGTGGTGGACACGAGGACTGTGGACTTTATGACACGTCAGACTATGATGATGGAGGGGGAATTCAAATAATCTAACCGGACTTAGAATGCCATAGATTATACCACAGCTGTGTACATGTGCCAAACCATGGGCTACATCCGCGAGTAGCTGTACAACAGGAGACTCTTCGTGCGTCACTAGATAGGTGCCTAAATCACCCTCTTCCATCCAAGGTGAGACGAGAGCAACCGACTTGTTGAGTCGTGCAACTCCGAGAAGCGGTATCACATTTTCATGTTGCATAGTGCGGTTCCATAACACTGCCTCACGAACGAATTCTTGGAGTAGTTCCTAGTGGGTATTGTAAGATACCATACGTATGAAATTTGACAGCTACTGGTAATGTACCTCTTGCCTATCATCAGGACCTGCTGGTCGAAGAAGTTTGATGGCAACTTTTGTGTTTTCCCCAAGAATTCCCGACCAGATAATGTGGACTCCACCTATGAAAACAGGTTGTTTACCCTGAATTTCAACTTTAGAAGTGAGGTCACGTATGCCGCTTGCAACGACCCGTGTTAAACACTTTGTGATCAAGCCAGAATATGACCCCATGTTGCTTGCGCGTGAGATGTTGTCCGTTAACGAATTGAAAAAACTCGATTTGGCTCTCGATGACGTCGTGCTATTGAACTTCATTGAAGTCCTATCGAGGTTTGTTCGAATCAACTTCCATATGGTAGTGCGTTCCAGCACTCAGATGATAGTATAATCAGGGGGATCGCGATGCTGTAGACGAGTCAAGTCAGCACAAGCTGAGCTGTAAGTGAACAGAATCGGAGCTACTTGTGATGGCACACGTCGTATTGTACGGGATGCGCCTCAGGGGGATCCGTTATGGTACAAATAACCCTCGGGCATGGTGTTGTTGGCTTCTAGGGGTCTACAGTGATCCACAGAAGGGTCGACTCGTTGCAGCTCGATAATGTCAAACCATCCTCTAGATCTTAGAATGTTGCAAAATGGTAACGAGTCGACACTGTAGCTCACATCTTGAGGCCCTTCCGGCCTCTGTCCCGGGAGTTTAACCTTGCCGCAATATTATTGCTTGTCTTATTATTACCTACTGTGGCCTCATGGTCTTTACCTCGATGTTTCGTGTCCCTAGGAATTCTGGCATGAATATTAAATGCATCACACCATCTCCAGTGCTGAGCGCTGCTGTCTTAACTTCCGTCAACTATAGTCGAGGCTCGTGCGCAGGCGTCTCGTTCTGCGTATTGCGTACGGTTATAATGTTATTTCTAGATCTCATTGCACTGAGGGATTTCTGTACCTGCTGCGCCTTCCATTCATTCCCTTTGAACTTTCACGACCTCAGTCACAAAGATTTCTGATGTTCGATCCAAACAAGTGTAAGCACGGAAATGTAAGTATGTTCTTTCTGAATCTGTAAATTCATCTCAGCCTCTATACACATAATCTTCTTTTCATGCAACTTTGTAAAAACGTATCAGTGAACACCAATTTCGCGGGCAATGATCAAAGTATAACGATGAGTGGCGGAAACAAAACAAAGGATTGCCCCCTGCAAGGCTCGAACTTGCGACTTTTGGATAACCCACTAATACAGCAGTCATAGGTTAACTATGAGACCAACGCACTACCAACTGTGCCAAGGAGGCTCAATCTTTTGCGTTTAAGCATATTATTATCAAGAGCTTACGAAGAAGAGAGGGTGAACATTACGGCATGTGAATACCAGAAGCTTAATACCTACACTGTTCCGGAGGTATCGGATGTTTCATTTGATGGGTCTACAAGAAACTCGAAGTGAGAACCATATCTAGGTCGGAAATAGGTATAGCCTAAAAAAACATCCTGCAGCACCTTGTGGGAGTGGGGAAGGTTTTCATCATGAGAACATGCAAATATGGTAACCGCAGCAGGCATGCGGATTAAACGTTCAGCGATTATGTAATGCTGCTTGACGCTATCAGTTGTTTTGTCTAACCGTTATCTAATTGTCTATCCTGTGTAGTATTTCATATGTCACTGGGACTTGTAGATGTGAAATCGTGCGCGCGCGTATGGCCAGGAAATTTTAACCTTGACCTAGATCAGTTAGTTTGCTTACCCTGAATTATAAAATGTGTATAGAACGTGCGAGAGTGACACGTCAGTTTCCCGACTTGAGCGGAGGACCCCTTGCGCGTGACTATGTTTTAGACATTCCGTGATTCCTAAGAGTTCCTAAGCTTTGCATCGGCCTGCGGATTCGATTTATAGATTTCAAGCGTTCAGCTAAGGGGTGGTGTGAAACATCTTGGCTACAACAACGAATTTAATAATCGACCTCATGTTTACGGTTTACCTGAGACAAGCCCCAGAGTCTCAGGTTGATTGTCGGAATTTTATTAAATGCATTTACACCATCAAAACATTTTACCGAAGTAATCAACTTACTTACAAGCAGTCTTGAAGCAGATCGAGATTCCCCTACCGTTTAACACATATAGCTTCGGCGACGACATACGAAGTTCATTGGAAGATCTCAAATGAAGCGGCGGCTGAGACTCAGGAAAACCTTTTGGAGATTGGCATGCAAGCAACATGAATCCAGATACTAGTTACAACGATATGGTAACATGAGAAAAAAAGAGTGACGGGTAACCTGGATCGCGATATCCAATGCAGGAGACTTCAATGCAAGAGACAGAGTCCAAGGGTACTAAGTGAAAAATGCGGGATCATTTCGGCATATTTTGTGTTTCACTTTTAATCGATCCGGCGGAAACGCATGACCGGTAGCGCGAAGTAACTGGGACAAAGCGAAGGGGGTTAATTTGGAACGTTTGCTATTGGGCAAGCTAAAACGTACGAGGTCTCGCGGTTGATGAGTTCACTGGCGCCAGTATAGTACGCAATCAGGGCAGTCACAATACCGACTGCACCACCAGCCTTGGTGACGGCTTCCATACCTGTGAAGAAGCCTGATTTTGAAGTCAACACAAAATAAAATAAAATACAACGCAATATACACACCTGCAGCGAGCAAGATGAAGGTAATTGAGAGGAAGCCAAAGAGAGCAATGAATGCCAAGTGTGTGCGGATCGCGGCAACCCTGTAAATATTCAGGTTCAGGGGTCACTCTGTGGGAACACAGGGAGAACCAGGACGTACAGAAAGAGGAAGGTAATAATAAACCAGGTCATAAGGTAGATGCCCAGAGCACTAGCGAGCTGATCGGCCGCATCACCAGTGTAAGCTGCAAGGATGCCAGAGCCAGGAAGGTAGATAGCACCAAACGAAAACCAGAATGCACCATAAGAAGTGAAAGCCTGGGAAAAATTAGATCACAACTATCCCGGCGCTGAGGAACAAATTCTCACAGTGGCGCCGAACGTGTTACCGCATACGAACTCCCATTGCCCTGCGAGGAGCTGCGCAAGACCACCTACACCGAGAGCCATGCCAACAACGACATTAGGGGTAGTAATTCCACGGGCTTGAACGTTGAAGAGCGAAAGAATCAACGTGGTGGAAGCGAAAGAGAACAGGCCACTTGTAGAAAGCATATATGTTAGTTTAACATCCTCGTTTGCAAGGAGCAGATGTCGAGAAGCTCACAGGGGGCCAGGGTTCGCAATACGTCTAATACCAGGGCCAGGGCCTTGAATTGCAAGTTGTCGTGCAGCGGATGCGTCAATGGCGGATTGTTCAAACCTGCCAATGTCCTTGTGAGTGTTTCCCTTCTCAATGTCGGCCATTAGAACGGTTCGTGGGGAATAAACAGAGGGTAGTGGTGGTGAAGAACAGGGGGGGAGGGAGTACAAGACAAAAACGAGGTGTCGGAACTTAACGTTTTGGTTAAGTACTGGACTACAACCGCGTGACTAGCCATTAGGAGGATCTTATAGTCGTCGCTTATGTAGGTCCCGACCCAGCGCTTATACTGGCTTTCCTATTAAGTACCTAGGTATTACGTGCAGCCATTCCCGTTTTCCATCGATCATTCGATCATTTTATTTTATAGTACTATACATGATGCATGGGCTGCAGCCCCCGTACATGCTTCCAGTATAAGCCCAGCCTAGGAATAATTTAGGAGCCATGGTAAATCCTCGGAGCAGCTATAATTTATGCTTTTTGTAGACCTGAGCTTTCTTAGGCCTATGTATCATACCATAGCGTTAATACGGTACAGGGTTACCGGATTTCAATTTGATTTCAGGCTTGTTGACTGGGGCGATCGCGGGTATTTCCGAGGCTGCACATACTTAGTCTTCTTTAGTATTCCTGATCTCTTGAAAATTTACATCCATTGTGGGATATACCCCTTATGGACCGTCTTTTCAGTCGACTCGCACTAAGCGCAGAGCGTAATCAATCGATGAAGTAAGCCGCCCATCATCAGAGGGCCCGCGATTCATTACATAGAACTTCTAATAATCATTATGAAAAAAGGCTACCAGTGACAATACATATACAGTTACATGAGGACTCTAAGCAAATATGACCTTGCAGACTAGTACTTAGTAGGTATAACCAGAAAAGAGGGACATATTACTAGAACAAATTCAAGACAATTTGCCATGGCACTCAATCATGGTGAGGCGGTGATTTCCCTCGATCACTCCGTGATGATAGCTCGCCAAGATCGCCGTCCCTCCCTCGAAACTGCTGAGTGGTTGGCGACTCTTCGACCCCTTTGAGATACGATCGACTGACACCACTTCGCACACCCAAGGGCGAGTCAAACAGGCGGCGCGAGGTGGGGTACGGCCAGGACGAATCCCCTCTTTTATGAGGCCTTCGCGTGGGCGACTCATCAGTATGCCATGGAGATGATGTCAAGGGCCCGACGCTATCCTCCAGAGTTGAAAGTGAGTACGCAAGGCTGTGGGAAGAGGATGGGCCTTGCACAGGTGTTCGCGATGGTCCCGATGGCGTCGTCCACAGGAGCGGTTGAACAGAGGCCCACGCATGTGAGCGCCGCGGTGTGATGGGTACAGGATTGGGAAATTTGAGGCCACGCGAGGGCGTTGAGGTCGGGTCGAAGGGCGCGTGGTCATCCATAGCGTACTCATCGTAAAATTTGGGCGTCGAATAAAGTCGTGACTCCGTAGACTGCGGCTGATAAGGTGTAGATGGTCCGCCGCGCACTGGGTCGCCCGGATCGCCCAGTGTATGCGGGAGCCGTGAACGTCTCGGCGAGCGGTCTCGCTTGCGGTTCGCAACCGGGCTGGCAGGCATCGGGGATGGTTGTAATGCTGATAGATAGAATGGTTGATCTCCTACCCCCGCGCGAGGCGGTGACTCTGGCATCGCAGGCGCAAATGTCGGTTCAGAGGACGGTGGGAGTGGTGGATCTTCCCCTGATGGTAGGCATTTCCAGCAGTACCATTCGTCTCCGAGCTCCGATTCGTCGTGAATGTCCATGCAAACGAGGTGGTACCACGTTCTGCATTCGTCACACCGTACCATCGGACGTCCATCATCTGCACCTTGGCAAATGCACATAACAACGCCCTCTTCCTCCTCCGCAGCTTTTCGTTTGAGCGCACGCTCTGCTACTGCCCGGACGTACTTCTTCGACAGCAGCACTTCACGCGCGTCCGCGGTTACAGCACCAAAGGACATGTGGCGACCATTTCCAGCGCGCTTCGCATCAGAAATGAGCGATACGGACTTCGTATGGCTTCTTTGTGGGCGTGTTGGCGATGCAGCGTCAGGTAGCAAATTCCAATTTGACGGGCCAGCGACACATTCGCTGTCTTCGTCCTCGCTCTCGCTTTCACGATCAAGGAAGCGTTCAATCCATACAAGACGCTGACGCCTCTCAGCCTCCTCCAAATCATCACGCTCTTGTTCCTTTACCGACCAAGGGTATTCTTTATCCGGCCATTCGGCTCCGTGGCCATTTTGCATCGGAAGTTCCTTGCTCTCGACAGTATCCATATCAGAAACGGAAGGAAACTGAAGCACACCAGCTACATTACATTGGACATGCTTAGATAAAATATAATAGCGATAGAGATGAACCTCACCTTCAGCAAGCTCTCGCGATTCCCGCGACGTGACATCAATAACAACACGACCCTGTCCAACAACTTCCGCCGGTTTCAAGTGCTTTCCTTTCCCAGAAGCCTCACGTGCCGCAAATGCCTCTAGTCTCCTCTGCTTCTTGAGTTGATCTTGCTTTGTCCAAATTAACAGTGGCGAGCGACCCCGCCCAGGAGTACGCCAATCAATTGCACGCAAAGACATGGCTGGGACCAAGGGTTGCCAGGAAGGAGCTAACCCAGCAGCTACTGAATCCAGTGGAGGCGGTGTCTGTGGTTCCTCCGTCTCACCCATCTCAACAGATGCATTCAGAACGGCATCATGAGGAACAGCTACTGGCTGGTATAACTTGAGTCGTCGCCCTCGTGATGGTGATATCGTCACGCCAAGACCGGGGATTGCGTCTTCGCGCTCTCTTCGTGCCCCTTCGTGATCTGCGTTGTCGCGCGCGCGTTTGATTCGTGTCAGATATTCAGGCCGGTGCTTCTCGCTCTCGGCCGTGCGTGTTTCCTGGAGGGCGGTGCGACGTTGACGGATACGGTCGATTTCACCACCAAAGGCTGGTGAAGGTGTTCGGGATGCCGAATCTTCCAGTGCGGGTGTACATGATGTCGAGCC